GATGAGCACATGGTAACTAGGCCTTTATGGATCCCAAGACTTACCCTCTATCTCAACTACTCATCCCTTTTCCCATCCCTATAAAAGGTAGGCAACTACATTCAAGTCTTACTACTACACATTTTACATAGAAAGATAACTAGACAGAGGAGTAGATCAGTAGAGACAGAGAAAGAGATGGCAAATAAGCTGCAAAGAAGAACAGCATCTCGCAGAAAGCTTCACCTTCTACGAACTATCACCAACCACAAATCTGTAATACAAAAATATACCATACCATTGTTTTTAGCCTCTCTCTTGTTTAGAAGTGATCATTCTTTGGATTCAAAAATCTTATCGAGTTCATGATGCTAATCCCACTTTTTCCTTTTTTGGTTTTTGAAGGTTAAAAGGAATTCCCTCATCTTAAATGTTCTTCTCCATTTTTACAAGCTCAAAGTCAAGTTGGAAGCAATACTAAGAAAGTACCAAAACCTTATGGCTATCAGAAACGAATACTTGAATCTATTGAAGCAAACACAAATCCCAAAGGTGATCTGCTTTAATCATATATTCTCCTACTGACGATATTTTTTTCAATTTCTATATTCATGGGATCGGGATCTTAGCAGGAAATGAAGGTGGAGAAGATTGGAGAAGAGTTTGTAGTTAAAGTGAGTTGCAATAAAGGAGGGGACAAGTTGGTCTCAATTCTAGAGGCGTTTGATGAACTAGGTCTTAATGTTCTTCAAGCTAGAGTTTCTTGCAGCCATTTCTTTGCCATGGAAGCCATTGCTGTAGCTCAAGACCAACAAACTATTGATATCAAAGATATTACTCAAGCTGTTCTTAAGGCCATCGATGAAAAGCAAGGTGATCATGCGGACACGCTTGTAACATAGAAGTTCCATAATTAAGTGAAGGTTGGCCATGTGTTGGAAATGTTAGTGTTTTGTCTAACAATCGAATCAGGTTCTCATTTTCATTTTAGATTTCTCGCTTTGTATTATTTTCTGTCCGGTAGGTTATTGGATTTGATTGTTAATTTGAAACTAACCAAACTAGACTATAAATAAGCAGCACAAACAGCAGCAAGGACAATAAAGAGCTAACCAAACCAAAAAATTTTCCGTTGCCGGGAATCGAACCCGGGTCTCCTGGGTGAAAGCCAGACATCCTAGCCTCTGGACGACAACGGAATTACGCTAACCAAGAAACGACAATGGAAATATGAGAATTAATATTAACACGTTTTGGTAATTAAAAAGAGAAAAAGGAAAAAAAAAAGTAAAGTTATTTTTTCTATTCATTGTGTTTGGTATGAATTATAAAAAATATAAGGAAAAAATTAGATAAGAATAAATTTGTAAATGTAATTGTTAGAATTAAATTGAATGAATGTATTTCTTTCATATTTAGTAAAAAAAATAAATAAATTCACTCATTTTTATTCTTCTTCTTATTTTCAATTTATCAAACACAAGAATAAACGATTTTTTTTTCCTTTCTTTCTTCTTTTCTTCTTACCAAACACAACAACTATCTTTCTTTTTGGCCTGTTTCTTGATAGAAAACAAAACCAGCTCATGATTAGTGATTAAGTATTGTGAAAATTTTGTACAAAAAAAAAAATATATATATATATATTATGAAAAATTAATGGGCTATGTGTCAGTCAATGATCTTTGGACTTGGGCAACTTCAGAGCTTTGACCCATTAAATTTATTAAGAATCATAAGCCTATTATTTAGAAACTTATAGTCCATGCAATATAAATGAATCCCGGAGCCGAGCAGAAAATTTTTCTTTCTGGCAAACCAAGCTGGAATTTAATTAGAAGCAATAGAGATTGCATTTTGCTATTTTTATATTTTTATGGGCCTAAAATCATTCATAATTTTTAAATTATGATGAAATATTAAACGTAATACTTAAATTATAAATATATTAATTAATATAATATTTATTTTAAACATAATTAATTTTAAAAAATAAAACAAATAATTATTCAAATATTATATTAAATAATATATTTATAATTCAATTATCATATTAAATATTTTTAAATTTTAATATTTAATTATAATTTAAAAATTATTCATAACATTAACTCATTCTTACGATAAATTAAAAACAATCCAGATGTGACATGACCAAATGTCAAGAACCCAACAGCAGAAAAACCCAATTCATAAACAAATGAACCTTTTAATTCCATGGAATTGCCATTGTAAATGTCGAAGAACCTGCATGTTTTGTGTGTCTCACTGATGATAATCAGAGCTAGGATCCGCACCAAAGAATTTCGTATAGGCAATCTAGAATCGGCCCCAAGTTTTTTCTAAAGTCTAAAAAGTAATAATATAAAGTGAAAGTCTACATTAGATGTTGTAAGCACCTTGACCGTCCATTATTTATATTGATTGATTGATGTGAACCAGAGAAGATGATGAAATTGTCTTATTTTAAAAACAACCCAGATAATATACATTAGTCAGAGTTTGGTGCATTTCATAAATGGTTTTTGGGTCCACAGATATATCAATCTTTCTACCCTTACTCTTATAGATAAAAACAAGAAAGCCAAAAAATGATTCCAATATATCCGACAATTTTATGATAAAATTTTTTTTTAAAAATAAATAATTTAAAATTTTAATAAAAATATAAATATATTTAATAAAATTAAAATTAAAATTTATTATTTTATATAAAATGCAATATAAATATATAAATTATAAAATTTAATTCGTAAAAAAATTGTGTTAACGGAAAGGCAGCCTGCCCTATTAATTTAGATATGCCTAAACATTAATGGTGACAAAATGAAAATTGGCCCTTGGATCAGTAGTACTAAATGGTCATGAATTAACAAAAAACCAAAATCATAGGACAAGTCTTAGTTCACAACAAATTGGTTTCTTTAATCCTCAATGTCCTTGAAGTATAATTTAATTAATTAGTAGCAAACACATCTCTTTCATGAAAAAAGAAATTAGCAGTATAATATATTTTTCAATCTATTTCAATGATCTTAAAAGGGGTTAAAAAAAAACATAGTGCAATATTCTTGTGGTGATAACTTTGGATGAGTCTAGGAATGGCAAAGTGTGCCATTTGCAACTAATCAAGCAAGGGTTTATCCACCTCGATCCATGCCTTGGTTGGGTTAATTTTGTTCTTGATTTTCCTCATTACATGGATCTAGAAAAGCATGTGAATTACATCCCATTGGATGTTGACATTCAATGATTTTACTATAATCTTTTGGTACAATAAAATACATCATAAAATATATTTGCATATGCAAACGAGTTCTAATATTAAAAAAAAAAAAAAAACTATCGTGCATGTCGTGTCTAAACAGCAAATGGATCCTGGTTAGACGGGAATTTCCAAGATATAAATGTAAAATAGGAAGACATGGGGAGGTTTCTGTTCATTAAATGAATTATATAATATAGTTTTTGTATTTTTTTTTTCCATTTATAGTTAAAAGAAAGAGTTTTTTAGGGTTAGAGGGGGGGCATGGAAGATGCCGTAGGTGTGGGAAGTCAGAGATGGGAACAGTGAATGAGAGTCATTCAATGCTTATAAATATAATACTTAAATAAACTTATCAATTCGAAGAAGAAGAAGAAGAATAAAATATCATAGTCACATTGCTTCACGCATCAATGAACTCCAGAAGGATTAAGTTTTTGATATTTTGATGACAAAACACCCAATTGGCTCCTTTCCAACCTCTTTCTTATTGGATAGAGACATATATAGTCCAATAAATGAACTAGTCAACACTGTAGGGTTTCAATTTTTATGTTCCAATGGTCATCCTCCTCTTTAAATTAACATTATATATATAATTTATACACTAAAAATTCAAATCAAATTTGGAGTAAAATTAACTATCACAATGATAAGAATTATTATCCATCCCTATCAAGCCACTTATCCATCAGACAAATTTTGAAATCTTGATGAAAATTTCCAGTAAAGATAGATGAAGGCGATTGACTGATGACTCGAAACAAAGAAAATAGTTAACCCTAGCCATAATTTCTAAATTTTATTTTGTAGTAAGAGCTGGGGAATCTCAATTATGCAAGTACTAGCATTATTTTACTTATAATTAAGGAATTTTGATTACATATATTATATCTGCCAATTATATTTGCTAATAAATAAGGAGAAAAAATTTTCAAAGAAATTGGAAGTGAAGACGAGAGTGAGAGTTGGTTAGGACAAGCGCCAAGGAATGAAGAGAATTACGACGAAGCCAAAGTTGAATTATGTTATAGTTTAATTAAGCAAATGGATAGGTTTCTCCTCAATTGTTACGAAAAGACCATGTCCATGTGAACTGAATCAAAGGAAATGCAGTCCTTATTTCTAGTTCATAAATTTTTTTTAAAACCATATAGGTATTAGAGGTAGAGGTGATAACGGTTTAAATCAAATCGATTTTAATTTAATTTTTTAAATATTATATAATATTATAAATTTTTAAAATTTAAATCTAAATTTTCATTTGATTCGAATCAAATTGAATTTTATCAATTCGGTTTAATTTGGGTTATGGATTTTAAATTTTTAAATATTATTTTAATAAAAAATTTAAATATATTTAAATAAATTTTAATATAAAAATATTTATTTATTGTATAAAAATTTAAAATATATATAATTAAATTCGATTCAATTTTTTTATTTTAAACTTTTTGATATGAATTTAATATATATATATATATTTAATATTCAAATTTGATTCAAATCAAATAATTTTTTTATTTTTTATTTTTCTCACCTTCAACTGGTAAACTCGATTCTAATTAAAGTACTGAATGAGCCCAAAACCTTTATAATCAACCATTAAAAATGCTTTTGGCCTATATTTTAGATAAAGGATTAGGCATTCGGAGAAGAGACAGTTTCATTATTAGCAACCGCAACCCGTCTCCCCCCCAAAAAAAAAAACATGCGTTAATTATTTTAATTTAAAAACAAAAAAGACAACGAGAACCGCGAGGAAACAAGGTGGGTGTAGCCTGGTATCCCATGCAACAAAAGACGACGAACAGTGGGAAAACTCTAATCAGTGTGCTTTGGTTAATTAATATGAATTAATAAAAAAAAAGAAAGAGATAATAATAAATAACAATGGGATTATTTTCAAAGTTGCATTTTAATAAAGTTCAGGATTTACATCACATTTGCTTGCACGTCCTTCAATTTGTCCACATGCCGCCCTTTATTAACAAATGACCCACCTTCTTTTCTATCCCCTTTTCTTCTTCGACCTAACCCCTTCTCTCTCCCTCTCTCTGTCTCTCTGTCTCTCTTCTTCTTTGCTTTGCTCTTCCTCTAGGGTTAAAGCGACGCTCACAGCATATATACTCTTCTGATTGTCAAGCTCTAAATCGTCGATCATGGACGGTGGTGGTAGTTTCAACAAAGACAGTAACCTTTTTGTTACTGAACAACAATTAGAAGAAAACGACAACGTTTCATCAGAAACAGTCGCCGAATCTCCTCCTTGTTCCACGTTCAAAGACATTAAACTCGGTTCTCCTAAAAAAGGGTAATTTTTCCCTAATTCACTTTTTTTTTTTTCCAAAATATTCAAAATTCTGTTAAGTTCGTTTTTTGCACTTTTGTTCTGACGTAATGGGGTTTTGTTACAGTAGAAGATCCGTACAGAAAAGGGTGGTGTCAGTGCCAATCAAGGACGTTGAAGGTTCCCGCCTTAAAGGAGAGAGTGCTCCGCCGCCCGATTCTTGGGCTTGGCGAAAGTACGGTCAAAAACCCATCAAAGGCTCTCCTTACCCCAGGTAACTAAATTAACTAACTGGCTGTAAGTTTAACCAATGTTTCTCTGCATCGAGGCGTAAATTTCGAAGTTTAGGATTCTATAATTATCAACCGTTGTTAAGGTTTCTATTTTGATCATTCTACCGGCAGAGGTTATTACCGATGTAGTAGCTCAAAGGGATGTCCTGCAAGAAAACAAGTTGAGAGGAGCCGTGTGGACCCTACAATGTTAGTGATCACGTACTCCTGCGAACACAATCATCCTTGGCCCGCTTCTAGAAACAACACTACCGCCGCTAAACAAGCTGCCGCGGCGGCAGCGGCTGCAGCAGCAGTAGCAGCAGAGGCATCAACCACAACAGGTGTAAAGCCCGAGTCATCTACGTCACAGCCCGACACGGAACCGGAATCAGGGACCGAAGAGAGGTTCGCTGATCTGACGGACGACTCTATTCTTACAACGGGGGATGAATTTGCTTGGTTCGGAGAGATGGAAACGACGTCGTCGACGGTTTTGGAGAACCCGATATTTACGGAAAGGGACAACAGCGGGGCTGACGTGGCGATGTTTTTCCCGATGAGGGAAGAGGACGAGTCGTTATTCGCCGATCTGGGCGAGTTGCCGGAGTGCTCGCTTGTGTTTAGGCACCGACGGAATGTGGGACCACAAGTCGGGATCTGCTGACACGTTGCCAGTAAACAATTTGCAAGTGGCAGAGGAGTCGTTGGTTTCAACGTCATGCCGTGCAAATCGTGTAGCACAAGACACGAAATTCAAAACGGAGACAACAAAAGAAAAATGAAATTTTATTATTATTATTTTTTTAAAGAATCTCTTACATTACATTATCCGTTTAAGGGCATTTCGAATTACCTCTGAATTTTTTTTTTTTACAGTTTTTAATTTGCCTTGATTTCGGTGTAGTAAATGAATAAAAATTCCGAATTCCAAACTCTGTCGTTATCTTGTTGTGTCTACCAACATTTGCCGTCAGTTTAAGGGATTTAATTGAAAAGAAACAATTTGAACAAGACTCAAAGCAGCATTTCATGATTCACTGGTAACCCTTTTTAGACTTTAAAGTTATTTCCATAATTTTCCTTTGTCTTTTCCATACTTTTGTCAAATAAATATTTTTCCATGTCGCATTCTACTTTGATTGTGTTAATATTCAATCTCAATCATTCACGCATGTTATGCACGTATAGAACGCAATTCTCGTTGGATTTTTGGGTTGCAAATTGGCCGTGTTTTATAAGTTTGGATTTGTACTAAGATTACGCTGAAATTTACATCATTATCTTGCTTGCCGAGGACAAGTTGGATGGTCATGACTTTCATAAAACAAAAATTGAAGATTAGAAGATTCCAATACTTTTGATCGGATGAAAGTTCAAATGATTGGCTGGCCATACCATAAAGTCAAATCAACTGAAATTTAGGTGATGGTATGGCTGGAAAAATTGTTCCGAAGAAAAATACAACCCCTTTTTATAAAATTTTTGGTTTTTTTTTTTTAATCATTCAACCATCAATTGTTTACATAAATTAGAGGGTTTCACATGGTTTTAGATATGCTGATCTTTGATTGTATCTTAAGCTTTTCCCCAGATAAGCCAGCCAGGGCAAAAGAAAATTCCAATATTATAATCCCTGTTATATAATAATAATAATAATAATATTATAAGGAGTTGTTGATGCAGAGAGGAGGGAAAGAGGGACCCATGTTGATATTAAAAGATCACACTTTAATTGTTTTAATAATAGTTTGATAATTAAAATTTAAAGTCAAATTTCAAATAAAATTTTTAAAATCTCTAAGCAATGGGTGGTTGTTAATTTCAAACATTTAAGTAGACATCTTACACGTTCATAGAAGAGATGAGGTAACGTCACAAATGATCAATGATATATATATTTTATGAAGTTTTCGTCTTTGTCTATTATTGCATAGGGATTGAGAATTGAGATATCAGGGTTACCAAATGGTCAGGGTAAATTCCCAGCAATTGCATGTGGTTTCTTTTAAGTACTTTGGCCTTACTTAATCCTCAAATGCCATGAAAATTTCTTACGAATTCATATTAAATCCTATTTTATGAAATGAGTGTGATCAGAAATAAAGATAAAAATAATATATTAATACTTATAAATTATTTAGATTCAATTTAAATAAAATTCAAATTCGATTAAATTATTATTGAATTAAACTCAAACACAAATAATTTAATTTATTGATCAAATCAAATTTAAACATTTTTATATTTGACTCAAATAACTTATGAGTTTAATCGAATTTTTATATTTTAATATATTTTAATTTATAAAATATTTCAAACTTGATTTCGAGTATAAATAATCAAATTTTTATCAAATATAAAAATTAAATTTATTTTTACATATTAATTAAATCTAATTAAACGAATTTGAATAACTTGATTTCTATCTCAAGTCAAATTTTACTTTAAAAAAATAAAACTCGATCAAATTTAAATCAAATTCGAATCTTGAATTTTGATTCGAACTCGAGTTTAATACTATATCGATTAAAACTAAATCAAATTCAAGTCAAATTCAAACCTTAAATTTTGATTGGAACTCCGGTTTAATACTATATCCTCTAGTAAGGAGGATAAAGTGAAATAATAATAATAATTAAAAAAAAAAAACCTCGCTAAATCTCATTAAATTATTATATGATTTTTTTAGTATGAAGAGAGCTAACCTTTCAATCATCATTCATTCAATTTGGATCTGCTTGAGAATGGAATTGGAAGAGACTACGTATAGTATTTCCAACAGAAGAGTTGGGAAGAATTGTTCTCACTCAGTAAGCACCTATTTAAATGCAATAGTGTAATAACCTGCTACTCATACGCCTCTTCTTGTCTACTAAAACTAACAGCCATCAGGAAAAATTTTGAATGTGAATTAAATCAACTTCGCCCGACTCCTAATGTAACCACCTTTCAAGAAGATTATACAAAACCACAAAGAAACTGATGCAGCACAACAAACAAACCCTGGTCGGATCGGATCCCTTAAAACATTCGGACTTCAGATTAACATCATTCTAGCTTGAGCAGCAACCCCCTTTCTTCATAGCAGAGACATCTTTACTCACATCAATTTTCTCACCCTTGGAGGGAACAGCTGAAGCACCCCCTTCATCACCCGTCTCCATAGCCTTCTTGCTCACGATATGGTAGATCTGAGTAAGGACTTCCGCAAATGCGTTTTCCACATTAGTAGCTTCCAGAGCAGAAGTTTCCATGAAGTAGAGGGACTCTTTCTCAGCAAAGGATTTCCCATCCTCGGTTGAGACAGCTACAAGGTGACGAAGATCTGATTTGTTACCAATGAGCATTACTACAATGTTCGGATCTGTGTGATCCCTCAACTCTCTCAACCACCTCTCAACATTTTCAAATGTGGAGTGTCGAGTAACATCATACACAAGAAGCGCACCAACAGCTCCTCGGTAATAGGCACTTGTTATGGCACGATACCTATCAGTGTGAAAAGAGAAGTTCAGTTAACAATATAAAAGAAGCAGAAGAGCATGTAACAGATAGATTTCTACAAGTAAGACTGTCATAGATCTGGAATTAAAACAAAATTATTAGTAACACTCATTTCAGTATAAAAGAACTATGTTTTAAATACAAAGAGATAGTAAAAAATCATAATATATCCAGCCATTTAACAACCTCATCATCCCTACCATTGTCCCTAAAACATCAATGGTTCAACAATGCATTTGTTTCCAAGGATCTAAAACTACAGTAGTACAGCTGTTAATCCATGATGGCAAAGCAATTCCATCATTCAACCTTATCTGAATCCAAACTATGTAGAGATTGTAAACCTCAGCTCAAAAACTTGCTAAATTGGATGTTTTCATTGCTCTTCTGGGCCTATCCTCATCTCTTCCTTCCCCTCTTCCTCCTGTTTCTTTCCCCTGTCCAAAGAAAGGGATGATGCCTTGCACAACTTAGTAGCCTTACACCCTACTAGAACAGGGAAATCAAACCAGACCCAGGCAACGACACCAGCAGTCCGTAACAGCAACAGCAACATTAGAGATATAACACACACGCTAGACATAATGGAAACAACTTAAAATGAAGCAATAGCATCAATGGTTAATTGGCGATGGCCCTGGCTTCGTAACCATATAAGTATCTCAGCCATAGAAGCAACATACTATTCCTCCAAGTTAACAGCAATTGAGTCATTGACTTAGGAACCATTCTGATAGTTCTAGTAAGTGAAGCCCTAGTTTGTTGTTTTCTTGCTCTTTTAGATCTGTGAGCCCCCATAATTTTAAGTTAGAAATAGCAGTTTGCAACTCCTAACTGGATAATTATTTTTCATCATTTTTCTAGTGAGAGCTTCAATTCAATGCCTCATCAAAAAATCTTCGGAGTCAGATTGGGCAATAAAGTATACATTTGTTTAAGGGGATGAAAATCATACTATTTCAGATTTATGCTTTGAAAACTTAAATATATTTGACCTGCTATGCATATGTGCATGCTTCAAAAAATCATTTCATTTGTCAACCAAGATTCTGTTGCCTTGGAGGTGAAGCAAGCAACAGTGGCAACAGAGGATTGCTCAGCCATTCTGGGGGCAGTAAATATTTGGGATATATGACAGAATAGAAGATGGTAGAGGGGTGTCTGGCAGGGGAGACAATGGTGGCAGGCAGCATTTGAAATAATAATTGTTAGATTGGCAGCAAAAATAGGTGATGTTCGAACTTGGTAGTTGATGATGATGAGGCAGCTAAGTTGGTAAAGATTATACAGCAGGACAAAGGTTACAGTACCATGGTGGCAAGCTGGCAGCTGCAGCATTCCTGCTAGTGCAAGTGCATTCCGTGTCACAAGATAGAGATGGCAGCCTTACGGGGCTTAGCAGAAGTTTTTTGAACCACTTCTTGGCATAGAAAGGTCAAAGGATACATCTACAATGGGGAACTTAGCGCTAGCCTCTAGGATCCAAGGGACTTTCCATATTGAAAATTTTTCAGTTTCATAAGCTAAAATTGCCAAAATTCTTCTAAGTCTACATTGGTCAACAAAGTACCTTATGCTAAATATAATATTTAGGAATTTAGCAACAAACTTTACAACAATATTACTCAAATAAAATAAGCTAGAAATCCCTTAAATTCCATTAGTAAATAATAGCATGTCACTCTGAGTGTAATGTATTCTACAGTGCAAAAGAAAACAGAAGGAACAATAAGGACCAAGTTCTCTCACACAGAAGAATAAAAGAACAAAAAATTTACTAAAGCACAACTCTTTCCCTGTAACATCCTGAACGGTCAAACCACGCAATGACTAAAATGTCCCTGTGACAACCTAACATCTGTTTACTTGTTGAAGCCATTGCTTCCATTACCAATTTACCACACTGTAGCTACAAGGTCTCTGTAACAAGCTGAAATATCAAACGAGATTTGATGCTAAGCACCAGACGTGCAGATTCCATGCACACACAGAGACACAAGATAGAGGTAAGTAATCATCATCTCTCTGAGACTACACAATGACAAAATTAGTAAGCAGGCAAGTAACAAAGACTAACGGATGATGGTTTTGACTGGCATTATCATGCTGGTGAAGCTCATCAGTTTCTCTTAACCCAACTTGTTACAGAACTCAAACGAGTAAACTAAATTATCATAGGCAATTTAGCTCTAGCATGAAGTCGAAATCATATCTTATATCTAGCAGAAGAAAACATATTAATGCAAAACATGAGCACTTCGTTTCTTACTCATTGTGAAGCCACTGATAACAACTGCAAAAGAACACACAACTCACAAAACAAGATTACAAGATGAAGAAACGTGAAGATCTGCTGATCCGCATTACAAATCTATGTTCACAACCCAAGCCTATTAGGAAAACAAACTAAAGCTAAATAACAGATTTGTACAAAAATAAAATAACCACAACACCATTTAGATACATGCTGCTCACAGATCTAGATATGCAAGAAACTTCCTTTTTCTAATAAAGGTAAGAAAAACATTACTCAGATCCCATTTCAGACCAAATCAAACTCTCCAGAATCAAAGTTGCTTTCTTTTCCCAAGCAGCCAAACATTTCAGGAACACAATCTCCAAGAAGAACAAAAATACCCTTTTGATTTTTGCTCGTCTTTCTTCACAAAATCAGCAGAGAACTAAAGATACCCAGAAAAAAAAAAAAAAAGGAAATTAAGACAAAGAAATAGTAGATGTGAGACCTTTCTTGACCAGCAGTGTCCCAAATCTGAGCCTTGATGACCTTGCCATCAACATTCAAGCTACGAGTAGCGAACTCAACGCCGATGGTGGACTTGGACTCCAGGCTGAACTCGTTCCTGGTGAACCTTGAGAGCAGATTGGACTTTCCCACTCCTGAATCACCGATCAACACCACCTTGAAAAGGTAGTCATAGTCATCCTCTGCTTTGTAACCAGCCATGTTTCACTCTTCTCAAAAACACCGCCTTTGCACTCTTTTACTTTTCCTTTTCCTTTGCTTCAACGAAATACGAGAAGTGTGAGAGAAGGGATAGTTTCAATTTTATTAAGCTTTTTTTCCCCTTGAGATCTCTTCCCTGAAAAAATTTTCTTGTGGTTTTTTTTAAACCTTTTATTTTGCTGAGTTGGAAATGCAAAAGACTGCTGTCTGCTCCGTTGGACTCCCGAATGGAACTCAGAGGGAATGGGGATTTGTCCCTTTGGGTTTCTTCGGGAACATGAAAAGACTTCATTGCCATCAACATGTTCCCTCCTAAAATGTCTTTTAGTCATTAGAAAATGAGGGTGTATTGGTCATTTTGGTAATGTCATACACCCTTCGTTGTTTTTGGATCCTTTTTTCACAGAAAGGGAAACTTCAATTTGAAGGTTTCAAATGACTTTAATGCTGGTGCTGTGATCTTTGTTGTGTTTTGGTTAGATGTTTTAAATGAGGCTGGTGATTGATTGCTGTTGAAAAAAATGGTCACTGCTGAGGGTAAAGGACATGGTTTCTGTTATTAAGAAATTAATTTTTTTTTTTATTATCCTCGAATTTTTGGTTTAATAATTAAAAGAAGAAACATTAAGTGTCTAATTTCGAGTTAAAATTTTTTTTATTAAGGTTTTGTATTTTTGATGTAATAAAAAAATTATTTTTTTATCTTTATATAAAAGAGGTTAAAAATTTTAAAAATTATAGACATTTAAATTTAAAATTTAAATTTATCAAATATTTAATTTATTTTATATTAAATTTAAATTTTTTTATTTTTAAATTATGATTTTATATATATAAAAATATAAATTATTTATCTAGTATTTAAACTAATTAATGTAAATGAAGTTATTTAAAAGATGTTGTAAAATTTGAGTTGAAAATCAGATAGGAAGAGAAAAAAAAAAAAAGAGTTTGAATTTGAAATAAATAGTCTTTAAGAAGGGAAATCAACCACTACTAAGCTAATTAAGCTATATACCTAAAAAGTAAAAAAAAAAATAGTGTAAAGAGTGGTTTTGCAACAAAAAGGCATTGTCAAATGCATGGCTTCATGGGTTATGTGATTCGTCAAACTTGAGCGTTCACAGGCTCTGCAACTAATCGCCATCATAGCCAATTATGGAACAACTGTGACTTCCAAGTACTTTCATCATACGCTCCATTTCGAACTTCTATAAAAGTACCAAACCTTTTCCTTTATCTATAATCTATAATATATAAAAATATAGGTGTGAAGAGATTTTGAAATTGACGAAATCCGATAATTTTTTTCATTAAAATTTTAAATTTTAATAATAAAATTAGTTTTGTAAATAAAAAAATTTATAATTATATTAAGTTATTGTCATTTGAATATAATTTTTAAATAATTTTTAATTGATTAATTTCTCTAATAAAAGTAAAATTAATTAAAATTCATCAACAACTAAATTTCATATTATTATATTATTACATTAATAATAGTTGTATGATTGATTGATAAAATATTAAAATTTTTTTATTTTAATGAACAAAAATCATACGAGAGGAATAAATTTAATTTGAATCCAATTTAACCCAAATCAGCTGTTATCTTAGATTTTGTTGATTTGGCATATACAATTTAAGCTCATGTGAAGCTGAATAAAAAAAAAAATTCACAGCTACATGAATAATTTAGGTTAGAAGGCCTGATATTGGAGAAAAAAATAGTTAGACCATGGCCCGTATTGATCCCCAAACTCAGGCCTCTATTCTTACCACATCGCCAGCAAGTTGTCCATCGTGAGGCCTAAGGGCTTTACTTGGGCTTCGATCTTGAACACAACCAACTCAACCTGTAACTTGCAAAATTGCAATAAGCCAGGGAACATTAATGACTTGACTCGACATAAAGAATCAAGCAAATTTATGAAATATCCGATTGCTGGTGCTAATGAAAGGTCAGTCGTACATTTCCTCGTGGGATTCCACACGATCACCTTGATTTTCTAGAATTGGTCCACTTTTATTATTGGTTTCATTGACAGATAGCTGGCCGCTGTCCCATCTTACAGTGTTATAACCCTTTTCCTTGCATTGTAATTCACCATTGGCCCATCGTGTTTCAGGGTACAATTATGAATGCACAAATTGCCAACAACAATTGAAAATCAAATTGTTTTGGAGGTTTTGATTCGATTTGGTATCCAATTAGTTTTTGAATCAAATTCCATTATTGGTGGATAAATTGCTTAAAAGATACGGGAAAAGAATGCTTTACGACAAAAAAGAAGAACATTACAAGCATAGGAGTCTCACACTCTGACTCGTTAGATTTTCGAGACAAATGGGTTGAAACTTGAATACGAGAAAGTGGGAAAAACACAGAGAGAACTTATTTATTGATACTTCTATAGTATTTTTTGTTGATGAGCTTGAAATCAAAATCATGGGATTTCAATAGTGTTAGGCAGCTGTAGTTGACGAATTATCTTTGCAACAGAAAGTGATCCTTCAGCCAATAGCATACAGGAAAATGTAGTTGAAGAATCTCCAAACTCCAAGCGGAGTTTATTTTTTGACTTCTTCGCCCCACAAAATTGGGGGGCATGAGGCCTACCAGAAACGATTCTCAACAAGTTCAGCATCCAATGTGTTGAAATTATTGCCACCAGGAAACATTGTCCTAAGCTATGGAAAGGGCAATGACCTATGCTTCCTGTAGCCTGCACCAAAATTATTGTTTATGGTAAAACGTGAACTTGATCTCTACAATTTCATAAGGTGAAAAAAGATAGAAATCATAAACTGCAACCACAGGTTGTAGCTTCTTTGTAACACCAAAGACTTAAAAAGACTTTCATTTTTTTGGTCTTTTGCTTTGCAATAATAGAATCTTCCTATGTCGGCCTTGCAGCATGATCAGAATCAATTCTGTGTCAAAACTGCAGTCCCACGTGCCTCAACTTAATGAACTTTGTTGCTAATTTTTCTTCAACAAAGTCAAATTTGTGAAATTCTTCTTAGTTTCCAGGGTAATATTGATCCTATATAATATGGGAACATGCCCATCTTTCATTTTCAATTATAAAACTACCCGAGTTAACCAAATGGACCTACTTCATTAAGCACGTTATCGAAAGGATCTTGCTTAATTACGGACCATGGATTTCCAATGAACAAGATAGGAGGGTCCACAAAAAGCATATATCCCTTCAGCCATACCAAACAAAATTGCAGATATACAAAATAAGCTTTCCATTGCTCAAATGATTGCCTAGCCAAAACTAGTGCAGGTTCCTCTAAACTTGGCCTCTGGAATTCAAACCCCAGAGATATAAACCTTTACTTATGCCACCCACGACCTCTCTATGATTGCATACAGCCATACATGTCTTATCCAGGTTCCCACTTCTTCCCTAAAATCTAGTCCTCTAAATGATGTTGTCTCCTTCTCAGTATCCTCACCAACCTCAAGCTTATTATAATTATCATTATCTTGTTCTTTTTTTGGAGGTTATTTTGTTCTGAGTTCTATTTTATCAATGTCAAACTCTGAAGTCTTTCCATCTTCACCTCCTAATTTGCCTGAGCCATCTCCTGTTAAGGTTCAAATGGTTTCCAAATCTGTATCCGACCGACTTCTTGAGAAGTTTTTTGATGTATCTGAGTACAACTTTGATTATGAGAAGAGTGGACTTTGGTCTCCCCCAGTTCGAAGAAGTGCCTTTTTAAGCTCCACTGGTAGAATATTCACTGAACAAGAAATGCATGAAAGATTCAAAAGTGTAATGGACAGACGACGTAGTAGAAGACGTAATATTTGTTTCAACGTATGGCTTTATACTTGTCCAGTTGTTTGTAATTGAATTCATTTCTGTGTCACTAATATTTCCTGTCAAGAAGCGGAATTAAACTAAATTCGGCTTCAATTCTGGTCCTGTTGACGATTGTTGATGAATCTTTTGAACTTTTTTTGCAGGCATTTTGCTGCACTTGAAGAAAATATGGAACAATGAAGAGTTGCTTACCTTATTCCCATAAATGGGTACCGTCTCAGTGCAGTTCACCAAAAAAAAAAAAGCAGAAACAGAGAAAAGAAAGTAACAAGAGAAACCAATAGTACTTTCCTCTCCCTCCTTTATGTAAGTGTTATAGTTTTCTTGGAGAAATATATAGTGAACGGTATACAATTGCTTCATAGTTCATCTGCAATTCTACCTTTCTTCCGGTGATTTTCTTGGGAGTGTTTGTTTTATTGGAAATTAGTAAAATCTAAACTTTCTTGGAAGATCCATATCTTCCAAGCTTGCAGCCCCCAAGGTTGAAAGTTGAAACCACGTTGCAATCTGTGAAAGCGCTTCTAATTGTTCATCCAACATCCAAAATCACCAAAATTTCCTATTCATAGGATCTCAAGCTCAAAAGCACTGTTGCATTAGATTAGAATTGGTGTAACTAATTTAGATACTGATTTATATTGTAATCCATAACTAGTAATTTTTTTTTAGATGCATTATACTACCCATGCTGTCAGTTTTCTGTCAAGCCAAAATTGTTCATATGGTATTTGTTATGATTTTTTTTGCAAAACCCCTATGCTTAATCACTAAAATATTAACAAGATTTTTATGAACTCAATTGGAATTGGGAAAGTACAGTAATTTGGAGCTTCAAACTTATAAATGATAAATTTTGAGAATCATCCTGCACTTTCTTACCATTAATTTTATACCTAAAAGATATATTCTTTAAAACTGGAAGTCTGAAACCAATTGCATTTCTCACTGTTACATGATTATTGTTATTGTAGCATATAAGAGAACGAACTTTTGACTCAAGCAACAACTAACAGTTCAGCAACAATGGCAATTCCGGCAACTCCTTTTAGTATTTACATTATTGTGCTTTTGCATGAACTTTAAATGATGACAAGATTTGGAATGGAAAGAAAAAGATGCTAAATTGGAATCACATACTAATCATGCGCTCATCAGTTTTGGAAAGGTAACCAATCCCAAAATGACAACTCATGCATTGAAGGCAGACAAAACATTTGTGGGGTCCTGTAATTGTAACATGTGCATACAATTCCAAAGAGAACAAATTTGAAAGGCCGGCCTGACCATGCAGACAGCCAAAGAAATTTGTTGTCTTCAGCAATCTAATCTGTCTAAACATTGAACCAGTATTGACCCTCCAAAGCCAAGCTGGTCCTGTTCTGTTCTGCTTTGTACAAGACGAAATTTTCAGAAATAAGTTCTACCCTCTTCATCCTCCATCCTTATTTTGGGATTACAAAGTGAGGTGAAGGCAGGTCAAAAGTAAAAGCCTTTAGTTTACAGGACTGAGAAAATTACAGTTGTATTTTTACTGTTCTCCTCAAGGTTTCAAACAGTGCACTACATCTAGTCCCATGCAGCTATTGCAGTGCCTGTCAAAGATTGAAAAATGTACTATATTTTTTTGACTTTGGGCAAAAGTGGGGCCCTAATGACGGGCTCCAATGAACATGTCCTTGTTTGCCTTTTTTATCGTATTTTCCTTTGATTTCTCTTTTCTGATAGCTCAGAGAACTGTCTTGCAACTTGCAAAAGTACATCTAGACATTGTTTTACCATTTGCTTTAACTTAAAGCTACAAGTGAAAGTACCCAAAATTTTGAACGAAAACAAATATATCTAACGTACTCTGTTGTTCAAGTTCTTCCAGAGTTCTGATATGAAAGATGATGTAATTTAAAACACTGGCATTGTGTTCTTTGAGATTGCTCGATCGTGTGCAACGTTATCTTAAGAAAACTCGTACAGTTAAAACCATTGAATCCAGTAAAAAGGGTAAAGTAAAAAAAAATTCATGCAAGTTCTAAATTATTGTTCATTTTTGCTACAAAATTGACTATTCAATTTTCTCCTGGATAAAACTCAGTCTACACTCTACACTCTACACATCAGGATCAGGGAAGGTCTTTTCTTTCTTTTTCTTTTAGTGGAATTACATACAAGTTGCTGTAAGTTTTCTCCAGATATTGGCAGTCATATAGGCATGGCATCATGCATAGATACATAGGCGTTTGCACTGTGGCTGGCACATGTTCAACAGAGATTCTCCATCTTCTTCCTTTAAAACTATCTGTCGTTTCTTCTCCATACTTTTTCTTCCCTCCCTATCTTTTCTTTCTGATTTCTCCCCTATCACACCACATATCCACCCTTGATTATCTATCTGCATGGCTGATACATTCATTAATTTCTGATTTTTATGATTAGTATTGTTGATTTTTTCAAGCCAATATTCACTATGCTTCTACTCACCCCTACCAGATATTATCAACATCCAAAGAGTATAAGACTTCAACTAGCCATCAACTCCAACAAAATACACCATTTTCGGGGTAAATTTTGTAGGAAAGTAATTATAATAGCTTAACTTGCTAATATACACAATAGGAACTTCAGACATTAGTATGCATGTAATAAGATCTCTAATGTGATGAACTTCAGACATCAAGTGACCTTCCCTGATACATACACACCCCATCACATTCATATGCAATAGGTTAGACGAAATTTTGAAAGTGACCTACCATGCAATATTGCCATCAACATCAGACTGCAATGGCACTTTGTTCCAAACTTTCTTTCCCTGTAATGCCATCCTTCAACGTTTTGAAATAAATGTTATAGTCCTTCTTTGGGGGCGGGTTTTCTGGGTCCACTGTGAATGGCTCACTGAATGGAACCACACTTTTAACCTGCAAAAGAAACAACATTAGCCAATGAAGAAATCACAAACTAAATATGGTGCATCTAACATTTAACACAGGCATATCTTCAGCCCAGGTTATTGTAGACAACAGCATCAAATCTAATAGATGCATAAAGCGAAGTTCATCAAACATCCATTGATAACTCCTCAAGTTTTAATTTCTGTTCTTTTTCCAGTCCAACAATGCCTTATAGGTTAATGGTAAAAGGGTAAACATACAGGCCTCAAGAGTTATAACGATAGTTTATTGTGCCTATACTAAAGCTCAGTACTTCTAATTTATTTATAACATTGACTTGTTCAGTAACATATCACTAAATTCTTAGCAGCAGTCTCATAACCGTTTAGATGTAGTAGTTAAGATTTTGAATGCTGTAACCAAATATGGTTCTAGATAATTCATCCCAAAATAAAGCTACAAGCATCTATAGCAAAAGGAAAATAAGATTAGCGTCTAGCAATAATAGCAAGACTAACCTCAAATGTCTTGTCAAATGCATATGGGCTTTCGAGGGCAGCAATGCATATGCGAGCAATTTCCTCCCTTGATATCTTTCCCTGAATTATCAGATGAAAACAGTTTTAGTGAGAAAACAGAGTTTCGGCCATACCAAATGTTAGATCTTCTAAATCTGTGGTTATTCATGTTAGATAACCATTTCAATGCCATACCATCATATTGTCTCCTTGATCAAAAACAAGATCTGCTCCAGCAGGCTCTTCTGTTAATGCACAAGGCCTTACAATTGTATAAGGAATTCCACTCTCCCGTATCAAATCCTCTCCCTGTTCTAGAAAAAAAAAAGTGTAAGAAAAGATGCAGGTTCTCAACTTCATAGCCAAAGGACTGATGGTATAGAGAGAAAGCTTCAGCTGAGTATGTCACATGGCTAGAGGAATGGAAAACTACAACTAACTTACTAAAACCAATTCATAAATTTAATAGATGTGTGGAATATGGCCAGAATAACAAACTGAAAAGAGGGATTTCCAAAATCATAAAAGCGGGAAGAGAAACTTTGGTTGATGTAGTAGAGCTTCTGGTCAATACTCCATTCTTGTTGGATGCTGCCAGAAGTATATCAACTCCTTACCAATTTCAAACACTAATTTGATAGAAAATGCATCATATATAGGGAAAATGACACCTCAAATATCACACATTCAAGCATTTCTACAGTTTAATTGTGGTAACTTTCTAGTTTTGCAACCAATACTATATTCAGATACACCTTACTCGGTATTTTGTTTCATAATGATATATCATCTGGATATGAAAATTTTAATCCGGCTACTTTTATTTCATTTTTTTAATAAAAAATTCCAGAAATGCATGGACATTAATGTTCCAGTTCAATTCTTGTAACACCATTTCTAGCAGGTGACAAGAAATGTAGCTGAGAGGATTGAAACTCAGTTTATCAATTTGCAAGCAACAAGCAGATGGTATTTATCTTCAACAAATGATTTAATCCTTATCCCAAACTGAATGAAGAAAAATACATGTGAAGGATAGAACATAACCTTCAACTTGAATGTTAGGACAAAACCCAATTCCTTATTCAAGCGCACAGCAGGAGGTTGTTTGCTTAGATCAATGCCAGGCCTGTCTGGTCTAGTAACTCCAGCAGAGCTCACATGGACGAACCTACAAGTGATGCAACAAATAAATAATTATATAAGACCCACACCCTTAACACCCCCCTCCCCCAAAAAGAAGAAAAAGAAGGTCTAGACCTGATTATGGATAGAATCTGATAAAATAAAGAAAAAAGAATATTAACCTGGGAGTTATAGGATCCTTTATGTATGCTCTTACACTTGACACTGGAAGCTCAAAAGGTCCTTCTACAAAAGTGGGATTCAGTTTCCCATCATATTCAAACTTGCTGAACATCAGCTGGAATTATTTTGCATTCCTTGTAAATAGGTTGGTAAAAACTTAAAAAGTAGAAAGATTAGAAAAGATGGACACAGTAGCGGACCTGCAATGATACAATATTGCTTGGATCAAAGGGTGGGGCATCAGATACAGTCCGTGCTCGAAATACAGGCCTCAGTGAAGAGAATGGCAAACGAATCTGTAAAGAAACAATAAGTTACAAGTTGAATGGAGAATATAATTTGTTTCGTAATGCTGATTATAGACTGGTCATGCTGTTACACACAGACTGCCATTGGCCTCCAATGGTGTCAAAGCTTGCTGTATAACCCACTGTATCCCAATCAGTGCTAGTGCGAACAATTAGTTTATACCGACGACCATCACCCTTTAACCACAGCTCCAAACCATCATATGCCGAAAGATCCTCTGGTGAGGAGAAGTTCTGATAATAAAAACCAATTAATTTTTTCTTTTTCACATGAGAAAATGGAATCAGCATCACACTATACATTCAGAAGTCTTCTTGAACACCCAAAGACGTGCATGTGCATGTTCCCTAAAAAGATAGTTGAATCGATAT